AAGAAAATCATCCAAGTAGGAACGTGGGGGTGGGCGCAAGGGCCTGGAGAGCCCTCATTCTCTCTCCCCCTTCCTTTTATGCCATCCATCCTTCCCACCAACAGCCCTTGACAGATTACTCATTAAACTCCAGAGAAATGAACAACCAAAACACATCCACCATCATCAGTTCTAAAGTTGATTCTGGTCTGCAGTTTTAGATTTTGGGAGAAGATCACTGGCTCATGTTAGAGATTTATAAACAGGCCCCAATGTCAGTCAAAGGCAGAGCATCGAGAAAGGGAAATGCTAGAATCTTTGACTCATCAAAGAGAATCTATAGCTTTTCCAGCTCTCGTCTCTTTCTCAGCATCTCTCTTGGTAACAAGGAGGGTTTGGAAATTGTATTTTAGCAAATGTATTTGAGGGCAGGTTGAAGGGAAGTGACACATTGACAAGTGACTGTGGGAACAAACTTGGGAAAGGATGGTTTAAAAAAATGCTGCTGAAAAAGAGAGCCCTCCTGAAATCTTTTCAAGGTTTAATTGCAGGTACACAGCTGACCCGTGTAAACTGGGAACTTCAAGGGAAGTGGCAGCATATCTTCTTCCCTTTGAAAACTCAACAGAACTTAAAACAGTCCAATGACAGAAGCAGCAGTCCTGTCCCAAATTATTCAGGGCTGCCTTTGATGGTACTGCCTGTGTGCACTCATTCTGCAGTCTGGTTAATGCATCTTCACCCTCTATCTTTGTGCAGATTTCCTAAACCATCATCATCACCTTCATCATAATAGCAGGTAACATGTATCCATGATTACTTGGTAGGAGACACTATACTCAGGGATGATTTTTTTCCATGAAGTAAATCTGTGAGATATTCATTATTATTATTTCCCATTTTATAGTAGAAAATATTGAGGCTTAAGGTATTAAGTACCTTGTTCAAGTAACACATCTAGTAAGTAGTACAGCCAGGGTGCAATTCAGAAAGGCTGACTCCAGAGACTCTATGCTACAAATGAATAGATGGATGGATGAATTGATGGATAGATAAATGAATAAATGACTTTCAGTAGGCTCTCAAGCCTGACTTAAAAATACATAGGACCCAGGAGAGTGGCTGTGGTGGCACTCCTCTGCAGTTTTCTCCTGCGGTAGGTACTAGTTTCTATTTGGGGTGTGTGTTCTTTGCTCAAATGCACAACTGACCTGGGGAAAGCTGCTGACACCTCTGTGTATCTAAGTGAGCTATACCACAGTCCTCTATGTCAGCACAAGGCAGGGTACCCCTGAGGATTTCCAGGAGAGAGAAACATCCTCAATCTCCTGTACCATAAGTCTCTTGGTGGCACCTAAATTCAGAGGGACCAGGTCATGTACACTTTCCGTGGGTGGCATAGAGAGGAAGGAGGGGATGGGACCAAGTGCCACCTTGGTCCTTGGTGAATCACCAGACTCTGCTTTTACTCTGTAATGGGTTGAACTGTGTCTGCCCCAAAAGAAGTGTTCACGTCCTAACCCCTGATATCACTGTGAGATTTTATTTGGAAATAGGGTCTTTTCTTTTCACATGTTAAGATGAGTTCATACTGAATTAAGATGGGCCCTAAATCCAATGACTGGTGCCCTTGTAGGAAAATGAAAAGGTACATAGAAACATACAGGGTAGAAGGCCATGTAAAGACAGAGGCAGAGATTGGACCAATGCAACTACAAGCCCAGGAATGGCAGGGATTCCCAGGAATCACCAGAAGCTGGAAGAGGCAAGGTAAGATTTCTCTCTAAAGCCTCCAGGAAGGGTATGGTGTTGTCCACACCTTAATTTTAGACTTCTAACCTCCAGGTCTGTGAGAGAATACATTTCTATTATTTTATATTACCCAGCATATGGTAATTTCTTACTGCAGCGCTAGGAAACAAATGCACTCTCCTTATGCCCTCATCCTTGCTTGCTTTTTAAATTTAGGATTTAGAGAATCAGTCATTCTTTGGGGACCTTAATCCATTTGTGTCCCTTCCTGGCAAGGTCTTCTCTGGGCCTAGTCTTTGATGATCTGGGTTGGAAGATGATCTAGAAAGAAAGAAGGCAGTTTGATGTTTCAGGTTGTTGCCATAAGAAAACACATCACATCACCCATCCATACCTTGAGGCTTATTAGATACTTAGTAGTTACCTAGTGAATAAAAGAAAGAAGGAATGAATGAAGATTCATTTCATGGGGCATACATTTTCAACTCTCTGTCCCTTACTAACTATTTTGAGAAGTGAGTTTTCATGAAATAAAAGATGGATGATTTGTTTCAGGTCTTCTCATTAGAAGTGTAGGCTCACTTCACTTGGGCTTTAAGTCCAGAAGCAAGTACTCAGTGAATTAGTAGTAATTGCCTCCATTTACAAAGAGACTGGTATGCACCAGGCACCATGCTAAGTTCTTCCATGTATTGTCTCATTTGCTTACTATAATACAATAATGTGCATACGTTATTGCTATTTAACAGATGAAAGATCTAAGACTCAGAGATAATTAATTAAAATATTAATAATGGATAATAACAGCAAACTAGTTTGAGCACTTACTATGTTCCACGCTGAGGATTTTCATACACCATTTTGTGTAATGCACCTAGTGACCCTCTGAGGTTCAATCTATTAGTTCTCTCAATTTTACAGGGAGGTGAAGTGCCTCACCCCATGCTGTTTAGCTCCATGTCTGTGATCATTGCACACATGCAGAATGTCTTAAAATGTGCCACCTGTCTTCTTGGAGTTCATAACTCAGAGTGAGAGAGGAGACTCTTATTCAAGAAACAATTCAGATTGTGTTTACTGATGGACTTAAGAGTGGGCCAAGGCCCAGGTTGGCTTTGAGGAAATACTTTACTTCAGGAGAAGGAATGGGAAGGGGCCTATGGAACTGGTAGTGAAATGCCTTATTTTAATTGAGATTTTACAGCAAGACGTAGTACCTGACAGTTAGAGGTCCTCAACATTTATTTATTTAATTTTTAATTTTTAAATCTTTTATTTTAAAGATGTGGGGTAAAATTCAGGGTTAGGTATATAAATTTTCATTATGCAGGTACCCTTGTTGATGAGGTGTGCCCCCCCCAGCAGTTTCCCTCAACTGCCAATTCCACCCCCATCCCTTGACATTTTCCCACTACTGCCAATCCCTTACTTATAGTATTATATTAATTGTTCAAGGTCCACGTATGAGTGAGAACATATGGTACTCTGTTCTTTGTTTCTGTGATAGATCACTGAATATGATAGACTCTAAATCCATCCAAGTTGCTGCATAGTCCATATGTTTGTCCTTCTTTATGGATGCATGATATTCCATTGTGTATATGTACCACATTAAAAAAAATTCAGTCCAGCTTCATGGGCAGTATGATTGGTTCCATGTTTTTGCTATTGTGAATAGAGCTGCAACAAACATGCATGTGTAGGTATCTTTTTGGTAGAATGACTTGAGTTCCTCCAGGTATATTTCCAATAGGGGGATGACTGGATTATATGGAAGGTCAATTTCTAGTTCTTTCAGAAATCGCCACACTGTCTTCCAAAGAGGTGCACTAGTTTGCATTCCCACCAGCAGTGTAGGAGTGTTCCTTTTTCTCCACATCCTCACCAGCATCTGGTGCTTGTTTTATTAATGATGGCCATTCTTACTGGGGTTAGGTGGTATCTCAGTGTGGTCCTCAATATTTATAAGCAGGTCTCCTAAGAGGGACAGTTGTATACATCGGTGCAGAATGACTGAACCTGGCTATCTTCCTGAGAAAAGAACTGGAGGTATGGTCCTTAGGTCTGTCCACATAATGAACTTTATAAATGTTCACAATGAATTAGATAGATCAGTGTGTATCCTCAGGTGTACTGATAATCCACTCTTCAGTCACCTTACTAGTTGGGATAATGTTATAGTTCATGCAGTTTTGGTTACAAGCTGGTGGACTCACTCTTACAATTCTCTAGGCTTGAAGCCCATGTCATCCAGACACCTGATTCTGCCTGATCTGGGGACACTGGGATCCAGGTGGGGCAGCGCACTCTTTATGGGAGGATTTTGCTATTGTGCATCTGCTCCCACCGCCTGCGGTCATCCAGTCTCCCCATTCCCAACCAAGCCAGGATGGTTATGGAGCCCTGAGCTCAGGCGTAGTGCCCTGAGACATGGCACACCCACATGTAGATGTGACAAGAGATGAAGCATGTGGGACAGAAGTTGGAAACCATTCAATGGATCATCCACCAGAGGAGAAGAAAGTGAAGAATTAGAGCAGGGTATTCGAGATGTACATGGAGGGCTTCCTGGATTCAGAGAAGACAACTGCAGGGACTTTGCTAAGGCTCCTTTGATCTTTAGCTTGGCCAGGGAGAGATCATAAGACATTTTTTTCTGAACAGGAGAGTCTCCTTGGTCCTCTACTCACTTGGAAAACTTCAGTGTATTCACGGTGAGCAACTTGGTGTTGGGATAATGCAGTCTTATTTGCTACATTTTCATCCAGCACATGGCCTATAGAATCTGAAAGCATGCTTATGGATCCAATTATACATTTTAAAATAGTCATTTTGTTCTGCTCAATTTTGCTGTGAACCTAAAACTGCTTTTTTAAAAAGACCATTTAAAAAAATGAGATTAGTTGGAACATCAGCTCTTACAAGCTCAGGGTACAGTAGCAAAATTGTCCTTTTGGACCTGGAAAGCTAAGTGGATCCACTGAACCCCCTTAGGTCCTGGACTCCGTGAAGTCCAGCTGATGTCATCAGTCTCCCTCTTTGACATTCCCGTTCTGCAAATTCAATGGGGCTTGAGGCCGCTTCTGTCTCCTCAGTCTGTGGAATGTGCAGATGGTGCTGGCAGATGCTCAAGTTGGTGCTCCTCCTCAATGCTTCTTGTTCCTCTGCTGGCGGACTCTGCCCCACGGGCCTGGTGCTGGCAGAGGGTGGAGAGCCCAGGGGGAGGGCAGCTGGGAAATCTGACTTTCATGCCTAGGATGAAAACTCACCCTGGTGGCCTGGAGAAAGTGTTCTGACCCTCTCTGAATAATTTGCACTGAGATGGCTGTGGTACCACAGGCACTTCTGACCCCGTGGAAAAGTTTGAGGGTGCAGGATTCATTGCCGGGCTCAATTTCCGTCTTCAGGATGGAAACATCTCCTGCTTCCGCCTTCAGAGAGCCTTTCTCTGTGCTTCTTTGTGAGACATTTCTGAGAACTGCCTGCATTCCGTTTCTGGTGGTGAATTGATTTAGAAGATTCTTTGTTGATAGCCCAGCTTCAAAAGCGCTCAGTCCACTGTTTGTAATTTTCTTTCTCCCTTCCAAGGAGGAGATGTTCCTACAAAGGAGAGGGAGAGAAACAAAAATGCCTTTTTTATTGACTTATACTCTTATTCAGTTCTTTTTGGTGGGCTACAGTGTCACTATTTTGTGGGCAAATTGTGTGATTGGTAAGTCAAACCATTCTGTCTGCAAAGAATGAATTCTATACTAAATGTGTATAGTTTTCTTTTGTTCCAGATGTTTATTTAATTTTTATTTTAGGAAACATTCATTGAGCACTTAATGTGTATTAAATGTAGATAAAATGAGATCTGCAATTTTGAGGCATTTGTGGTCTACTGGAAGAGAGACAGGTGAAGCAAATGGCTATAGTTTCTAGGGCAACTGGGGCACCTCACTCTTTGGTGCTTACTGTAGAGACCGTATTTCTTTAAAGGCACTATGCAGGTCTAAATTCTCTTTATACATTCCAAGACATCTTAGATACATCATGCATTTTGAATGTATTAGATCCAAGCTTATTGAGTGGGTAACTAAGTAAACAAATTGAATTTTGAATCCTATCATTCCCATATTCTTGCATGTTTTTTCTGATGTGATAAGAATGACATATCTTCATGAACTCCTGGTTAATCTGAATGCTATTCCCCATCTCTGCAAAAGAATATTCAACTTGATATTGGTTGGTGTTTTAAAGAAAGCATATAGACTATGCATCTTGTTTTAGGACACCAAGTTTTGGGGAAGTTTCTAATGTAACAATAACCAACCTAGACACTAGTATTCTCAGTTCTTCATTTATGTGCAGCTGTCTCATGCCAGCTGAACCATGTTCACTGATTAACCAGAGGCTTCTCTCCCTGCACCGGCTCATGGGGCACTATAGAACAAGGGTAGCCTGGTGAGTCAGGAATCAGAACAAACAGAGTATGTGGTTGGAAGATTTTTGCGTTCAGGGGCCTTAAGTTCTGATACACTCATCTCTACAACAGGGATACTGAAAGTTCAGCTGTACACAACAACAGGATTCAAAGTCTGTTTTTTATTTTATTTTAATCTTATTTTTGTAGAGATGGCTCTTGCTATGTTGCCCAGGCTGGTCTTGAACTCCTGGCCTCAAGCAAATCTCCTGCCTCAGCCTCCCAAAGTGCTTGGATTATAGGCATGAGCCACCACGTTTGGCCCAAAGTTAGACCTTGTGAATTGTTTGGACTCTCAGAAAGAGAACGTTACATAAAGGTAGCCACCTAGTATGTGCCAGATCCAGGGTTAGGACTGGGATACTGGGTCAGGGTTGGGCACATACTGGAGATGATGCTGTTTGTTTTTCTTTAACTTATCTGCTGACCATATCAACTTCTGATTTTGGCTTCTTGCCTCAATAATACAATATTGCCAATAGAGTAAGGAAAACTCTTGCTCTCATCTAGAAGCCAGTCAGCATGGCTGAGGTGCCTGGAACTACATGCTTATTTTATGTTTATTTTTTTAAATCATCATACTCTCCCAAACCTTCGTGATGCTGCCTGAGATGCTGTGGCCCAGCCTGCCTTCTAGAACCATGCTACTCTCCTACACACTGCTGGGCTGAGAACTGTTAGTTATTGCTATGAGACAAAATAAGCACAAAAATGGAGAGTGAATGTTTAGAAAATGCATTACAATTTGGCATTGCTGTAACATCCAAGTGCTTGATTAGTAGACTTGTCTCACTGGACAAGAAAGATATAGACAGTTCCAAAGATGTTGAATCTGTGTAGTGAGTCACAGGTGGTGCAAACTACATGCTAGTCAAGTTCAGGTGTAGTAGGACTACACACTGGTCTGTAAAGGATTAGAATAAAATACACACACACACACACACACACACACACACGTTCCTATACATCACTAGACAAAACTGGAATTTTATTATAGAGAGTTTGAGAAAGCACTGTTTTGAAAAACTGCTCGACTTTCAAGTCTTACCTTCACTTTTTGCTTTGGTGAAGGCTTGAAAAATATTCCTTATGCTCTCTGCACTTTGTCCTTACCTTTACTGGTACAAGTATTTTCTTGTATTATGGTTTCTAATCTACATGTTGACCTCTAGACTATGACAGTAGAAACAATGTTGAATTCTCATGGATGTGTGTGTGGGACATATTAAATTTTTCTGTAATAGATATTGAGGGACTAACTAAAGAAAGAAAGAAATGCCGTCTCCCCTGTCCCTACCATCAAGGATGCTTCTCATAGATATTTCTCTTATACTCTGAGTTCTGAGAGGTGGAGAGGTGTTATCTTGGATTTGGCTTGTCTCATATTTAGATGAATGACTCCTGTACTACTCAGCCTGGTTGAGCATGACAGAAACCAAGTAAACTGGCTTAGGCAGAAAGGAAATTTACTGGCTTTGATAACGAAAGTGTAGAATGGATAGGCAAGGCTATAGATGGCCTCAAGGATATCTGGAACCAGGGACTTGATTTCAACCAGACCCCTTTTTCATGTGCTGCCTTTTGTTTCTGCTGCATCCTGCATATCAGTTTCTTTTGCTGAGATCTGTTTTCACCAAGTTTTGGAAATAGTCAGGTCCTAGGCCACATCCTCTTAGCTTTGACTCCAGGGTAGAAAGGCTCTTTTTTTTCAGTTCCAGTTTACAAAGTCTTAGGGAAGAAATTATTTCCTTTGATTAGTCTGGCTGGATCTCATGATCTCTCTGTGGCCTGAGGGAGTATGGGGTATTATGGTTGGCCAATCCTACTAGAGGTGAATATATGGAGAAGGGGAGACACCATCCCCACCAAAAAGGGGAGTGCTATTCCCAGCAAGAAGGAGAAATACTAGGCAAATAGCTGCTGTCCCCTATAGCTGAGGAATGTTGATCAGCACTTACTCCTGTGTGGTGAGAAAGTCAAGTACACTTTATTCACTTTGTCTTCATCCACAGTCAGTCCCTTCTGGGTTAGGACATCATACATGACCGTCCTCATTTTCTTCATTATATGTCTTTAGTGAGCATCTGCTATATTTTAGTCACCAAGCCACATATGCCATATGTTATCTTATTTATTTCTACAGCAATCCTAAAAGGCAGACATCATTTTTCTACTTTGTTCAGTTCAGCTACATTAAGTGATTTACCCAAGGCCACGTACCTAGTAAGTTGGGGAGCTGGGATTTGAATTCTGGTTGCTCCTGACTTTCATGCCTGTTTTATTTCTGCTACTCTGTTTCTGCTTGGGATTTGTGCAGCTCTAGGTTGAAAGAAACTCCCTAACGACGACATGTAACTGAACTCAAAGACTTTTTGTCCTCCAGCCACAGCCTCTAAAACCTCCACTGGAAATTCTCTGTTTGTGATGATTTGTGATCATGTTTTATGAGCGCTCTGGGCACAAGGAAGGGTGTTTGAAACAGGTTTGGAGGGAACAACCCTTCTAGTCCATCCACTGGTCTAAATCTACGGGTGGTCTTGGTTAGCGAGCTGGCAAAACAATGAGTGGACTGTGGACCATATTGATTATTGGTTTTTCGTGAAATCAGTTATGGTGTCTGTGATTATTACTATTTTTGAAGTGTGTGGAAAAAGAAACTGAAAGAATGCCATAAAAATGTGTTGTGTTCCCAGATAAAAATGTGTTGTGTTCTGTGTTTAGCTTTGGACCACTGCAGAGTCTCCATTTTGGTTGACAATAACATAGTAAGAACAATAATGACAATAGTAAAGGTTCATTATCTGCTACTGGCTCTCATTTTTTTCAAGTAGTGAAATGCATGAAAATAAGGTAAATTTTAGCCTTAATTTGAATAAAGTATCAAGATATCCTAAAACCTCTTAGCAAGGGGTATAAAGGTTATCTTAGCATTCTTGTTTCAGAATGAATGAAGTTGATCCCAGTTATAATATTGATAGTAAAGATGAGTGTATCATTCATCCTTATATCTTTTTTCTGCCCCACGAGGAAAATATATGTTCCATTGTATGTGGGGAAAATCCACAAGAAAGATTATCTGGATTATTGTTTGTTAAGGGCTTAGAACAGAGCCTGGCACACAGTAAGAACTATGTAAGTGCTGGTTAAATTAAACTACAACTACTTTGCAGTTTATAAGCCCTTTTATTTCTGCTGCTTCTTTTAACTCTTGCAACAACCCTGGGGCTTGGTAGGACAGTGATTATCATTCCCATTTTATAGATTAAGAAAATGTAGCAAGAGAAGTTAAAGGACTTGCCAAAGTTCACCCAGCTAGTAATTAGAAGGGATTCATTTAGAATTCAGGATTCGGTCTCCCTTTTGGGTGCTCATATCACCGCATCAGTGGTAGCCAAGATTTAGTTTTCATGAACCACTTAAGAACTTGTGGGAGACTATGCAGGTAATTCTTCACTCTCCTCTTCTCCTAATTCATTCTGGGCCTATCCCTGAGCTGCTCTGTGACCAGGAGACTGACCCCCTGGGCCGTTCCAGTTCTTTGCTGGCTGGCTTACAGCTGGGCTTGGCCAATGGGAGCCCCTAGCAGGAGACTGAGCAGTGACAGAAGAGAAACTTTGCTGTGGTGTAGCATGTCAAGAGTAGTGATGTCTCTCCAAAGCTATGGGTTCTGCTGGGTGGCCCCTTCTCCAGGGCTCTAGCACTTACCAGGCTGCGGTGACGCTGTTTCCTTCTCTTGACCTTTCTGGGCATCTCACTGCCCTTATTTATTCTCCCAACCCTCCCAGCTCTGTAAGTGGTTCTTTCATGAAAGTCTCTTTATTTGAACCATCTGGGGTGAGTTCTGTTTCCTGCTGAGACCCTGAATGTTACAAAGACCAATATTGACTTGCTTATTTTTAGATTGCCAAGTAAGAGCATAAACAAATAAGCAAAACCCAAACAAAACTGCTGTCTACTACTGCTCCGTTTATCTTACTAAAACAAAGATATCTTAGCACAAGAAAAAGAGGAGGAAGGGGATGATTAAAAAAAGGAGTAGAAAATCTCACTTTATTACTTTTTTCTTATTTTATTATGACTTAGTAAAAACTTTATTAGAAATTGAATGTGGTCAGCGGGCCAATGTTTGAGCTCACTTGTCTACTCCAGCAGTTTGTTCCCCTAAGATTTAGCATAGTTAAAAAGAGGTCTTCATACGCCCAATATATTTTACAAGGTACTTATGAAGTTCTGTAAATGCTTCATGGACTTTTTTCAACAAACCTGCATTGAACATCTATTCTGTGCCCTCACCAAAACGGGGGATATATAGGTCAAGACAATTCTTGCCATCACAGTCTAGTTAGGGTAAAAGATAAGAAAAGAAGCAGTTGTAACATATTGAGAACGCCAGGCAACAGGTCAGCACAGAACCACAGGAACACATCACAGAGACAGCATCTAATTTTCTCGGGGATTGGGATGAGAGGTGACATCTAGAACAAGTGGCATTTGAGCTGAACCTCCGAAGCATTATAGGATTTTGCCTAATGGACAAGGGAAAGGATATTTCCAGCAGATAGCCTGACTTGAATAAAGGCATGGGAACATGACAGAATATGGTACCTGTGGGAGTACATCCTGAAATTAACTTGGGGAGGCTGAATTGCAGGGTTGAGGGTGAGTTACAGAGTGGAGCCAAAGGATGAAGGAACTTTAGATTCAACGCGGAGGGATTTAGCCTTTGTCCTGCAGGCAGCTGTGATTTATTGGAAGGATTTTTAAAATTTTATTTTTTATTTTTTATAAAGGGATGTGACACGGTCAAATGGTATTTTGCAAAGATCACTTTTGTTAAAACTGAAGAGGTAGATTGAAGGAGACTGTGATTAGGGACTCAGATTCCAGTTAGGATGTTACTGTAATGGTTTAGAAAATTAAAAAAAAAAAAGTGAGGTTCTTGATTAAAGTGAAAGAGCGGATGTGATATTTCCAGTGTAAATCCCCTCAAATCCACCTGCTGATCAATGGGGAGGTAAGGGAGAGGCTTCCTTTGAACTTTCCTTTTAGCGTCAGCCTTCAATCTGCCATCTAGTTACCCTAGACCCCGCCAGTCTGTGAAAGGCAGCAATTAAGAAGTTCTCACCCTCTCATGAGTTTTTAGACTTGCATGGAATTAGGAATCTCATGAATGCTATAATTTTACAAAGTGGTGCATTGGCGAAATAAAAGGCAGACTATACAAGGGGTAACCCCAAAAACCTGGAATTTATTTATAAAAAATTGTGTATTTATTCTTACATGTTTAAACTTCAGTTAACTTCAAAGTACCCTCCATTTGATGCAATACACCTATCGAGACACTTTTCCCCTGCTGAAAACAGTTTTGAACTCATCAGTTTTGATGCCTTTTAGTGCTTCTTCTGTTTTTTTGTTTCACCTCTTCCATATTGGCAAAAATGTTTCTCTTCAAGGACTTTTTTAATCCAGGGAAACAAACAAAAGAAAGTCGCTCAGAGCGAGGTAAATAGGGAGGGTGGGGCACAGGGGTCATGCCGTTTGGGGTCAAAATCCGCTGAACACTAAGTGCGGTGTGGCCTTGGTGGAAGAACCAGTCATCTGTTTGCCACAAAAAAATTTTACTGAAGCCTAAAACAGCCTGTCACAGCAACACTAGGTGGTACACTGATGCCAATGGGTTCCTAGAACACACTTAATGGGGGAAGCCTGTGCTACATGGGACCTTCCCTTCAAAAGATAATTCTGCTTTTCTGGGGGGTCTCCCCCTATAGATCCCAGGAACTTTCTCCAGGCAAGTGACACATCTTTGATTTGTGACTGCTTTGCCTGTGTGTTTATACAGTGAAGGCCTGTGGTTTTGGGAGTTATCTGATCTGTATATGTCCTATTCTTGTGCCCACTTCCCTGCCATCACCTTGGAAAACAAAACCTTATTTGCCATCTGCTGAGGAGCAAACCTCCCAGTTGCTAAGTTGAACTTGGTGAGTTTTCAGATACTGTTGTGTGGTCATGCCCACATTTCTCTGACTTTTTGGTCAGGTTTTTCATTCTAAAACAATGTAAATTTTATGCATATACTCTGGTCATTATTGAACTCTGTAGCATGGAGCGTTTCAATTTTATCACCTACATCACTTTGTCTAAGTATTTATATATGTGTTTTATGAATTTTCTTATTAGTTCCGTAGGATACTGGGAGACCTGGCTTACCTAACTCTAATCTGAGAATCCCTGTCTGATTGGGCTGTGAAGCATTATGCAGGTTACTTAATCTCTCTGAGACTATCATCATGGGTAAAATGAAAGTATCTCATAAACTCTGAAGTGTACCCTGTATACTATATGCTATTGTTTTTGTTATTATTAAACACAATTTGGATATATGCAAAAGTCATTGTAACCTTTGTAAATCTTTTTGACTGTGGTTACAGTGAGTCTAGATGATCCTTGTAGATATCAAATCTGATATTGTCTCTAGGGGACTACATGAGAACCTGCTTTTAAACTGAGTAGGATAGAATATTTGTTAATGAATGTGTTTCACAAAGATCCGAGTATCACATGTTCTCACTCATATAATGGACCTTGAACATCCAATGTAATACTATAAGAAAATGACTGACGGTACTGGGAAACTATGGGGGAGAGGGGGATGGGATTAACAATAGCAAATATCTGTCTGGGGAAGGGGAAACACCTCTTATCAACAGGGTGCCTGAATGAAACGTAATTGTATACCTAACCCTTAACTATACCCCACAAAACCATAATAAAAAATATTGATTAAAAAAAAAAAAGAATGTGTTTCAGTTCTAGAGAAATTTCTACTGTAGTTCCTACCTGTAGCTGGCTACTATTATTAATAATCTATTATGAAAAAAATAAACTTTAAAAAGTACTTGATAGCTAGTATTGCATTTTCACATGCCTCAGCTGAGATGATCCCCACAATCCAAATGTTTATTAATTTAGAAGACCACTATTATCCCCATTTTACAGATGAAGACATTATCTTGAATTTCATCCATGATTGACTTTCATGT